AGCTCCCAGAGGCACCTTCCCCTTTCAACAGCACGCCAGCACCTGGGAGAATGTGGGGTCCTGGAGAGCACAGTCTGCCACTGCTGGGCTGGGTGACACCAGATGACATAATCCTGCTCACTGACCTCAGATGGATTCTGTTACGCTCACAGAACCTGTACAGAAGCAAGCACAAGTCTCTACAAATCCTTCTCTTCTCTTTGAATGCCCCCTCACGACCCTGCCCAGCAGTCTGCACCCAAGAGCTTGCCAGGGCAGATTTCAATAGGATCCTCACTTAGCGGGTGATCTCTGGAAAACTTTGTACAATGACTTATATTTAGAGGCATTTACAATGCAAGAGACTTATTACCTTGAAAGGAATAATAACACCAAGACAGACCATAATGCTGTGGCCCATGCTGTCCTAGCACTCACTGTGCCAGACTCTAAGTACTCTGTGCTTGTTGACTCATTTAAATACTCTTGGCAACACTTTGCCCTGGGTACTATTACTATCCTGACTTTACAGGCGAGGAAATGGAGGCAGAGACGTTACATGGCTTGCTGAGGTCACCACGCCAGAACAAGGGAGAGCCAGAGAGTCCGATTCCAAATTCATAATCACTATTCAAAATTGCAAATAGTTCTGTTCTATTTTTCATTCAGTGTTTTCAGATACATCTGGGACCACTTAATGAAGACTTCCCATAATATTACTTTATATCAAAGAAGCAACTGATTCTGTCCTTCAATTAGAAAAAGTAAATGTTTGAGAGGTGGCTGGGTGGCTCAGTCAGTTAAGTGTCTGACTCTTGGTTTTGGCTGGAGTCATGGTCTTGGGGTCATGGGACTGAGCCCCATGTCGGGCTCTGCACTCAGTGGGGAGTCTGCTTGGGATTCTCTCTTGCCTTTCTGCTCTCCCCAGCTCATGCACTAAATAAATGATTCATAAAATAAATGGATCTTTAAAAAAATGAGAAAGCAAATGTTTGTAATAAATGAATCACTAGTGAAGCTTTAACATTCTACATCAAGAATCATTAATTCATAAGTTAGTCTCACTACAAACAGCAGACTGTATAGCTTCTTGCCCTAAAATCTAAGGCTCACTTACATTTCACCATACCTCCTGCAGCCACATGTCTCGATGTACAATTACAGGCATAGGGATTTTAGGATATCATCTTCCTCATCAGTCTAGAACATCCACAGTGCAGGAGTTAGCACTGACCAATTCCTTATTTAAAAAGTAATGTAGACTACTTATATATACATTCCAATATATATTCCTTATACACTTCAACATATTCTCATGTTGTCTAACAATATTACATGATGGTTAAGAACATGAGCTCTGGGTAAGACTGATCTGGATTAAAATCTTGGTGCCACCACATGAGCTAGATTTTTTGACTGAGGTCAAGCCTCTTAACCCCTGTATCCCACTGCTGTGCTGTGGAATACAGGAGAAAAGGGCCAATGGAACTGTGGGTGAGGTGAGGCAGAAAATACTTTGTTACCAAGGAAGTAGCAGGAACAATTCGTAAGGCTAGGCTATTGATTTCAGGAACTCCTTGAGAACTAAGCCTGTTTTCTTCTCGAATTTCCTACGGTCTCCAACTGTGCTAAGACTATTCATTATACACTGGCACTGCCAACGCAGAAGAAAACACGTACACATGTGTCAACGGCAATCACTGTTCATGAGCAAAGTTGTTACCAGCCACATGACTTGCAATCACACAGTGCTTCCACACTGTGACTCCACCTGTGAAATAAAGTAATCTAGAAAGCTTGGCCACTCGGGGAAGAAGTTTCGATAGTGGCAGCCACAGGCATGGTTTCTCTTTGAAAAGTTCACTGTTCCCACAGGAGGCTACAATAACGTCAGCATTCAGCAGCAGTCCCAGAGCACTGATGAAGATGATCGGACACCTCTAGCCCTCATCAACAGAACGACTTGAGTTACCTTCTCGGGCAACACAGCCTTTACACACACACTCATCCATCATGCTTGGAGATGGAGGGACTTCTTTCATTAACTTTTAGGGAGCATATTACTAAAGCCTACAAACTAAAAATCAGGTTTGATTTTACTGCAGCATTTCCTTAGATATAATAAAGCAGAAAAACACAAAGAAGGCTTGCCTGTAGACAAAGACAACAGCCCTGAGGAGTCACCTGTAATTGGTGGAAGGCTGAGTGTTCAATTCGATCCGAGTGCTGGCTGCTTTGGAAGTACAGCTGATCCTTGAATGACACAGGTCTGAGCTGTGCATGGCCACTTACATGGGACCTTTTTACAATTAAAGTACTATAAATGCATTTTCTCTTAAGATTTTTTAAAATGAAAAAAAAAGATTTTCTTAAAATGTTCTCTTATCTTCATACAAAATATGTTAATTCACTATGTTATCAGTAAGGCTTCCTGTAAGCTGTAGGCTATTACTAGTTAAGTAGTTATACATGGATTTTTGACTGCACAAGGAGGGGTTGGTGTCCCTAACCCCTGCACTTGATGTCTGAGGTCAACTGGAATTTATTCATTCTTTTACTACATACTCCAGATAGCTCTTTTAAAATGAACAAAAAGTTTCTTAAAATAAAAATCACTCTCTCTCTCTCTCTCTCTCTCACACACACACACACACACACACACACACACACACGTTTCATTGTGTCTCTTGGAAATCCAACAGCTCAGAGTGGGGTCCCCAGGTTACATAGTAAAACTTTTGGATTAAAGGCTAAACAACTCCCTTTTAGGTGGGCAGCTAATCTCAGCAAGAAGCACTTCTACGACCTAGAAGTTAAGGCTCATACGACAAATCTGCTCTGTGGAGCCCTGACAAATCAAGTCTAATGAGATTCTAGACGTGGCTTAACAGGAATGGAGCCAGACATTTCTCCAGACTAGATTCCACTGTGAAAAAGACCACATTTAATACAAAATAACTGTGCTAATCCAGGGACAGCACATTCACTTGATATAAATCATAAAATTACAAAATTAGGTAAAGATTCTCCATGTCTCCATTTGTCTCAAATGGATTTTCAAGCCAATTTTAGCTTAGGATAAGAATTTTTCCTAATGGGAACAAAATCCTCTATTAACCACACCAAACATTCTTAAATGCATTCTGAAAGCTGTTACAAGTTGAGGATTTAAGGCACAATCACGATATGCAAATATCTAAAACAGTTGAGGGTTCTGTTCATTTTAGGATTTCACAGGAGCCCTAAGTGCCAACATTTTTTATCAGAATCCCTCAGGAAGAAGTCCCCCTGAGGAACTGGTGTACTCTGACTTACAGACAGAGCTAGAGTAGTGCAAAACTTGTTTCCCTTCTTCTAAGCCATGACCTTCAGGAAGTTCAAGAGTCAAGTTTTATACCTGATAACAGCATCACGTTCCCTCTTCCTTCATTTTCACTGATCTTGTTTTTCTCCCTTTCTGTTCATATTTTATTGCCATTGCTGTGTAAGTCTTATTTTGGTATCATGCTTCAAGTTCTTTTGGGAAGGAGGCCAGGTATAAATACATTACAAAAAACAGATAAAAAAAAAACCCCAACAAACAAAAACCCCCAAAACCCCAAGCAAAAAAAGTAATTATTTTTAGGATATAAAAGAGAGCATCTATGCCTTCACAGCATACCTTAATAAAAAAGCAGTATTTCAGAATTACCCTAATAGATACCCAGGATTGACACACCACGCCTGAGCTCATTGAGTCCCCAATTCCCTGATTTCACCAAGAGCAGACCCATTTCCTGAGTACAACCTTAGTTATCGTCATCAGTCCCCATTCTGGTGGGGGAGAGCCCCAAGGCTAAGGGATTGGAAGTTGTATGTGCTTAGCTCTGTGACCCTAGATAAGTCATTAACATTTGATTACCTTAGTTTCCTCCTTCATAACAAGAAGGCAAGTAATTCTCCTACACTACAAAACTCATTATAATTAGGTAAACAGAGACTTGTTCTTTAAAGTAAAAGTACAGTATAAATGGAAGATATTACTATCATACACATTAGAAGTCTAATGAGCTTAAGAACTTTACATTCATGGCAAAAGTTTTTCATTCCAAATTCATAATAGTTTCTTTGGCAACATCACAGAGACAGAGAAGTTATATAAACACTAAGCAATGCAGACACCAAATAATGAAAGAAAGCATTTCTATACATAAACATTATTTATGCCTATTTTCATATTTATACATTAAGATGTAAACATCCCATTATCCAAAAGAGCAGTGAAAACAAAACAAAACAAAAACAAATTAAGCCTTTAAAGACAACTGGTGAATTTTAAAATGTCCCTGCTGAATGCTCCAAACACCAAATACTATAATTCAATAATTCAATAATAAGAAGAACCAAACTGAACCAAACTGGTAAGCGAGCCATAAAGTGTCAATATGTAGTAAAATCGCAGAATGTTCCATCTTCTTGGCTAGCTGGCTATTTACAAGAGAACTCTTCTTGTTTTAACCATTAGTTCAGAAAAAGCTTTCTAAACTGAACTACTTCACTTTCCTGGCTCAGTAAAAAAGTACAAAATAACAAACATACATCAACTTGATTTTGCTGATTTAATATCATGTAGTATATCTTGGGGTAGCTCTAGAATATACATAACTTCTGTGCAGTTTTGCTAGAGGCAGAAAACTGAAATGGAATTTCCTGTTTTAAATAAATCCCTGATATTACAAGCTTACTGTCTTCCTTTTGCCTCATTCTCCTAAAAGGGGAGTGCAGCAAAAACTTCTAGTTAAGCAAGGTTTTACAGTTGCAGATATACCTACATAATATGGGTTCAGGCAAACACGGTAGTTCAACGACTTTACCCCTCTGGACTATTCTGCTTAATAAATACACCCAGTAACATGAATTATACGTAACGGGTCCATCATTCTCTGGATATCAAATTTTAGTACCTTATATATATACTTTTATAATCTTTTCTTTAAAAAACAAAAGAAAAATCATTAATGAAGGTACCTTCCAAAACCAGGAGAGTTGGCAGATTTTGCTAGTGGAATCAAACTGTGCTTCCTATATTATTAATTCATAGCTGCTTGAACGTTTATTATTATCAAAACGCAAACAAGTTCTCTACGATACAAGGTGCTGAACTCTTCGAAGCCACAAAATAGAAAGAGCCGCTGGGATAAGTCGCCGTCTCATTCTGAGCACAGGCCGCCATTTCCAGAGGACACGACCCACGCCACTGGCAGCACACACGGGGATTTTCGGCGGTATACAACACAGAAGTGAATAATGCAGAATCACAGTGAAAATGTCATTCCCTTTACAGTTTTACCCTTCTGATAATTCCACGGAGAGAGCCCCATTTTCACACTGGGTAAGATCTCACTGCAACAAAGAGCAGGCTTCGGAAATTCAGGGCCTGGGGTGGGGTGGGGGGAGCATTAGTATCTAGTTAGAATTTCATAACATTAGTATCTAGTTAGAATTTAATAACATTTTTTATTTTATTTCGTAGTTAACTCATGGTAAATTGATGCTGGTTTTCCTTTTGGAGTAGAGATTAGTTTGTCTTTAAACTATTTTAAGATTTAAAAGATAAATACTAAAAATAATAGTATATGTTAATACTCAAGTGATTGAAGTCTGGGGAACGATGGCTATAATCTAACAAATTCCATGTTTAAAAAGTGATTTCAAAAGAAACTACAGACAGGGTCTAGGAAGGAAACGTATGTTACTATGTTCTCAATACTTGTGATGTTCTAGAGATAAGCTCATAAGAAGCCTTTTCCTATATCAAGTGATTTCCAGAGTTAGGATTCAAGCAAAAAATATAAAAGGAAAAAGAACCAATTCCACACCATCCCAGACTTCATAAACTCAGGGTACTGTAAGTGTGCAAATAATGTGATATTTAGCAAGTTGTTTTAAACACAAACTCCACGGCATGTTTTTATTTGCGCTATACTCATGCCTCACAAAGGCGAATCCAGACTGTAGAGTTCCCGCTTGGTCCTCAGAGCATGTACCACACACATTTTTTGATTGAACTCTTCAGAAGGATTCAGGACCGCTGGCCAAGTCTCCAAATGGCTTCTGACTGTTCTTCCATGGTCGTGGCCCTGGATAGAGAAGCCTCCTCCTCCTCTGAATAATAATCCCGCGACTAACATGAGGGGTTTGCCTAGCAGGTGCTGCACGCTCCCAGGCATGCCATGCGGACTTAAAACAAAAAGGATAGCTGGCGAGAAAGAAAGCAGAGCTCCTTGAGTGTGGTGAACAGTTTCTTCATCACAGTGGCAGTTAAGATATGCTCCCTCCTTTTCCCCTGGAGGCCAGGGCAGTACGTCTGAAGGATGGGGTCAGACATCGTAATCAGGAGCCTTGCTCTGGGCTTGCCTTAGCCAGATCTGCAGTGTAACAAACGCTCCCACAGTCACGTGAAAGAAAAGCTGCCACAGGTTGCGCAGTTCATAGAGATACATGTTGCACAGACAGATTAAACCAAAAGTCAAAAAAGATTTGACATTCCGCCAGCCGGTGTAGTAGACAAGTAAGTAACACTGTTCAAAATATAAAATGAAAGATGATTAGGGTTACAAGAAAAGAAATAGATGCTTCTACTATAAAATTTTAACAGGCCACAGAGTAAAATATAAGAGTGGAATAAGAGGATTTTTCACCTACAGATAAGATAATGTAACTTCTTTAAGACATTCAGCTATGAAAGCGCTACAGCTTGAAAGGAAGCAGACTTTTCCTTTTATGTTTGTCACTGTCAAAGATCCATTTTGTATCATATTTTAAAACAGAGTCACATCTGGATGACTCCCTTGCAAAGAGGCTGAGCACATCACACATTCCTCACCCCAGAAAAGTACAAAATACCTCAAACAAACCACAGCAAAATGGACTCTTACACAACCTGAATCTACATATTAACGAAATCCACAAATATTTACTGCTCTCCCATCAAGTGCAAGGAACTAGTAAGTAAGGTAGAGCATCTGAGTGAACATCTGAGGTAGAATTCATTCAACAGATGTTTATTGAGGGCCAGCTACAAGCTAAGCATTGTTCTTTAGTTTCAAGTAACGAAATAAAGCCCTTGCTCACACAGAACTTAAATTCTAATGGAGGGAGAAAGATTATATATACAAAAGATCATATTATGTATATAAAATACCAAATAGTTATGTCTTAAAATAAAAGATGGGACAGGGGGACAGAGAATGTAATAACTGCTATTTTAGAAAACAGAATAAAGAAATTACCCCCCCCCATAAGCCCCAAATCCTGGCAGTCACCTTTTCCTGCTTTATTTTTCTCCACAATATAAACACACTTTACAAATGTGCTTGTTTTGTCTGTTATATATATTCTTCCAATAGGATCTAAGCTTCATGAGAGGAGAGATTTTTGATTTGTTATCCAGTGGGCACTTTATCCAGTGCCCAGAATAGTGCCTGGCACATAGTAAGTGCTCAATAAAAATCTGTTGAATGAATTGTTTTCTAGACGATGCCTAAATTCACAATCTGTTAAATATAGGAATTATATGTGATTACAAAGTCTTAAGAAAGACGCAGAAATTGTGAAATTCTATCCAGGCATCAGGAGAGGAAGGACTTCAAGGTGTTTGCAACAATGCAGAAAGAATGTGGAAATGTTCTACTAAATCTTTTTATTTCTTTAAAAAAAATTTTTTTTTAGGATTTTATTTATTTATTTGACAGAGATCACAAGTAGGCAGAAAGAGAGGAAGGGAGGCAGGCTCCCCACCCAGCAAAGAGCCTGACATGGGGCTCAATCCCAGGACCCTGGGATCATGACTGGAGCCAAAGGCAGAGGCTTTAACCCACTGAGACACCCAGGTGCCCCAAATCTTTTTATTTCTTATACAAATTAGGACTTTGCTTACTTAAACAGAAGACTGCTATCCAAGCAAAATGAACTGTAAGTACTTATTTTATTTGAGTGGTTTTCACTGTGTAAAAAAAGTTAAAGTAATTTTTCCTTTTGAAATAATTCTAGACCTAGAGAAGAGTTGTAAAAATCACAGAGTTCTTGTACATCATTCACCCTGCTCCCCCTAATGTTATCTTGTTGCATAACCACAGTATAATCATCAAACCACAAAATTAACATTGATACAATACTGTAGACTAATCTACAGCCTTTACTGGAATTTTGCCAGTTGTCCCATTAAGGCCCTTCTTCTGGTCCTGAATCCAATCCAGGATTGCCTCTTGCATTTAGCTGCCATATCTCTTCAAATCTGTTATAGCTCCTCGAGTCTCTTTTTCATGACCTTGACAGTCTAAAGAGTATCAATCAGTTATTTTGTAGAATGTCCTTTAATTTTGGTTTGCCTGACATTGTCTCAAGACTGAAGTGAGGACATGCAGTTTGGGCTAGAATACCACAGAGGCAATGTGCAGTATGTCTTAAAATTGGTGATGTTAACTTTGATCTCTTGGTAAGGTGGTGTCTGACAGGTTTCTCCACTGTGAAGTTACTATTTTTCCCTTTGTAGTTAGTAAGTTCTCTTGTGGGAGGAGAAATAAAGACATTATCAGGTAAAAGACTAACAGAATTTGACACCTACAGATGTACCCTAAAAGAATGGCTAAAGGAAAATACCTAAGCAGAAAGGAAACAATAAAAGAAGAAACCCTGAAACCCTGGAACACTGAGAATGCAAAAAGAACAGTCAGCAAAATAATATAATAGGTTCTCCTTCTCCTCTTGAGATTTCTAAATTAATGACTGAAATAAACATTTGTAACGCTGTCTGATGTGGTTCTAAATATAGGTAGAGGAAATATTTAAGACAATTCTATTATAAACAGAGGGAGGCAAAGGGACATAAAAGGAAATACAATTTCTATGTTTCATTTGAACTAGTAAAATGACAACACCAAAAAACTGAAAAGTATGTATAATGCAATACCTAGAGCATTTAAAAACCATACAAAGAGGGGAGAGGGAATCATGGGTGGCTCAGTCTGTTAAGCGTTCCACTCTTGTTTTGGCTCAGGTCATGATCTCAGGGTCATGAGATCAAGCCCACATCCCTGCTTGGGATTCTTTCTCCCTCACCCTTTGGCCCTTCTCCCAATCTCGCATGCATGTGCATTTTCTCTCTCTCAAAAAAAAAAAAAAAACCAAAACAAAACCAAAACAAACCAAAAAAAACTATGCTAAGAAATAAACTCAAAAACACTACAGATAAATCAAAATGGAGTTTTATAAAATGTTCAAGTAACCCACAGAAAGATAGGAAAAAGAAAACATAAAAATGAAAACCAGCAAACAAAAAATAAGATGGCAAACTTAAGCCCTAATGTATTGATTCTACAGTAAATGTAATGGCCTAAACACAATAATTAAAAAACAGAGATTGGCAGAGTGGATTAAAAACAGCTTTTAAATCTACCAGAAACTCACTTCAAATGATACAAGCAAGGTGAAAGTAAAAAGATGCAGAATATATTGTGCAAACATTAATGAGAAGAAAGCAGAAATGGCTATATTAGTATCAGATAAATATAAAAATATTTCCAAAAAAAAAAAAGAAATGGCTAGAGAGGGTTATCATTATATAAGATATTATATAATGATATATTATTATAAATGGATCAGTCCACCAAGAGGGCAATAATCCTAAATGTGAATGAGTCAAACAGAGCTAAATGTGCAAAGCAAAATATGCAAAGCAAAAACTGATAAAACTGAAATGAGAAATATACCATACCACAGTTAGAGTTAAAAACTTCAATACTCTTCTTTCAACCGATAGAACGAGACAAAATCAACAAGGATACAGAAAAAATGAGACCCATCAACCATCGTGATCTAACTGACATTTACAGAGCATGAAATCAGCTACAGTAGAATATACATTCTGTTTAAGTGCTCATGGAATATATATCAAGACAGCCCATATTCTGAGCCACAGAATAAATTTCAACAAATTTAAAAGAACTGAAATCACAGAGTGTTTTCCAACCACAATGGAATCAAACTAGAAATCAATAATAGAAAGAAAACTGGAAAATTTCCAAACTCTTGGAAGCAAAACACAATTCCAAATAATCCATAATCCATAGGTCAAAGAGGAAACCACAAGTATAAAAATTTTTAAATACACTGAGATAAATGAAAATAAAAATGCAACAATGGAAAGAGCCCAAATATCCACTGACTGATGACTGGATAAAGATGACATGGGGTGTGTGTGTGTGTGTGTGTGTGTGTGTGTGTGTGTGTGTGTGTAAACCATTATATAAACATATATATAATGGAATATTAATCATCCATAAAAAAGAACGGAATCTTACCATTTACAACAACATGGATGGAGCCAGAAAGTACTATGCTAAGCAAAATAAGTCAGTTAGAGAAAGACAAACACCATATGATCTCACTCATATGTAGAATTTAAGAAATAAAACAGAAGAAATGTGGAGGGGGGAAGAGAGGCAAATCAGGAAACAGACTCCTAATCACAGAGAACAAACTGAGGGCTGCTGGAAGGGAGGTGGGCAGAGGGATGGGTGAAGTAGGTGATGGTTATTAAGGAGGGCACTTGTGATGAGCACTGGGTGTTGTATTTAAGTGACAAATCACTAAATTCTACACCTGAAACTAATATTACACTATGTTAACTAACTGAAATTTAATAAAAACTTAAAAAATAAAAAAATAAAAATTTTAATAAAAAGTAAGATGAAGGGACACCTGGGTGGCTCAGTCAGTTAAGCGGCTGCATTTGGCTCAGGTCATGATCCCAGCGTCCTGGGATGGAGTCCCACATCGGGCTCCTTGCTCCGTGGGGAGCCCGCTTCTCCCTCTGCCTCTACCTGCCACTCTGCCTGCCTGTGCTCTCTCTCCCTCACTCTAACAAATAAATAAATAAAATATTTTTAAAAAAATAAGATGAAAAAATGCAACATATCAAAATCTATGGGACACAGATAATAAAATGCTCAAAGAGAAAAAGGTATAACGCTAAAAGTATATATTACAAAAGAGAAAATTCTCAATAATCAAAGCTCCCATCTCAAGAACCTAGAAAAAGAAGAGCCAAATTAACCCAAGCAAGCATGAAAAAGGAAATAATAAGGAGAAATCAATAAAACTGAATATACGAAAAAAACCACAAAACAAAGAGCAGGTTCTTTGAAAAGACTGATGAAATTAACAAGTAAGTCTGACCAATATGAAGAATGAAATAGAGAATATCATTATAGATCATACAGACAGCAAAGAGATAGTAAGAGGATGCTACAATCAACTCTACACATGTAAAGTTGGTAAGATGAAATAGATCACTTCCTTATAAAATACAAACTATCATAATCCATGTATTATAAGAAAGAGAATTTGAATAATTTGTAACTCTTAAGAAAATGGAACTTAATACAGATTATACAGTCACGATAATCAATACTACGCAGTACTGGCAGAGAGACTGACACATAGATCAATAAAACAGAATATAAAACTCAGACTCTCACAAATATGTCCAATTAATATTTGACAAAGATGTAAAAGTAATTCAGGGGAGAGGAAAAAGCCTTTTCAAAAAATGGAGCAATTGGCTATTCATCCACAAGCAAACAAAACACAACACAAAACCAAAAACACAAAAACAAACCCTCCAATCTAATCATCTAAGTCTCACATTTCATACAATCTTATACAAAATTTAATTAAAAATGGATCATGAACTTAAATGTAAAACATAAAACCAAAACTTTTAGAAGAAAACAAAGAATCTTCAGGGTCCAGGATTAGGCAAAGAGTATTAGACTTGAATCAATGGAATTATAATATTGGATGGTGACAGATGGTAGCTACATTGTGGTGAGCACAGCCTAGAGTATAAACTTGTGGAATCACTATGTTGTACACCTCAAAACTAGTTAATACTATGTGTCAACTATACTTCAATTAAAAAAAAAAGTTCTTAGACCTGATACCATAAATATTTTTCCATAAAAGAGCTGATAAAATGAACTTTATCAAAATTAAAAACTTTTGCTCTGCAAAAGACCTGGTTAAGAGGATGAAAAGACAAGCTACTGACTGGAATAAGACACTTGCAAATTACATTTCTGACACAGGGCTGATGGCTAGAACTCTCAAACCTGACAGTAAAAACCAAATGATCCAAGTAGAAAATAGGCAAAGACATGAAAAGATATTTCACCCAAGAGAACACGTCGATAACAAATAAGTACCTGAAACAATGTTCAGTATCATTAGCCATTACGGAAATGCAAATTAAAATCAATATGAGGGATCACTACACATCTGTCAGAATGGCTAAAATAAAAAACAGTGGTAACAACGAATGCTGGAGAGGATGTGGAGAAACAGGATCACTCATAACAATGCTGATGTGAGTGATGTAAAATGTAAAAATGTAAATGTAAAATGGAATGCCACTCTGGAGAACTGTGTCTGTCTCAATAAAACTAAGCATGCAACTACTATAAGACCTAGCAATTGGACTCCTAAGCATTTATCTTAAGGAAATGAAGACTTATGTTCTCACAGAATCCTATACATGAATGTTTATAGCAGTTTTATTTATAATAGCCCCAAACTGGAAACCCAGATGTCCTTCAGTGGGTGAATCATTAAACAAACTGTGGTACATCCATACCCTGGAATACCATTCAGCAGCAAAAAGGAACAAACATTGATATATGTGACAACTCGGAAAATTCTCCAGAGAATTGTACTGAGCAAAATAACGCCAATCACTAAAGATTCATACTATATATGGGTCCCTTTATATAACATTATTTAAAATGAGGAAATTATAGAAATGGAGAACACATTAGTGGTTGCCAGAGATGAAGGGGCAGGAGAGAAGTGGATGTGGCTCTAAAAGGGCAACCAAAGGGGTGCTTGTGGTGATATGAATGTTCTGTATCTGCCCACACTGACATCAATATCCTTGCTGAGATAATGTATCATAGTTGTACAAGATGGTGCTACTGGGGGAAACTCAGGTAAAGGTTATATATCTCTCTCACAGCTATTACAATTAAATCAAATAAAAAGGTTAATAGGAAAAACAACTTTATACTCACGTACGTATCTGCAACTTACTTTATAGACAACTAATATACACACTATGCACATGCACATACAAAAAGAGAATGAGATATAGAAAGTGTTGCAGAATGTTAATAATTTGGTGGCTCTAAGTGTACTGGTCTTTCAACTTTTCTGGAAGTCTGAGAGTTTTCAAAATAAAGCACTGAGAGGAAAAAAGAGAAGTCTCTGGTTTCTAGATCTTTTGATTTCCTCTTTCAAATGTTCCATAGCAAGATTACTCCTATCTGGCTGAGTTCTGTGGGTCCATAAGTACCCCCGGCCTGGAGAAAAAGCCAAGAAACTGCATAGTCGTAGCTTTTGAGGTCTGATCTAAAGGGGATTAAAAAACGACTTCACAACTGGAGATGGAGCATGTTAAAGGTAAAATATAATCACGCAGGTTTTACTGCGGAAAAAAACCAGCGTTATTATCACTCTGCTCAGCATATTTGGGAAGTGTGCAGTTTCATGCCTGTCAAAAAGAAAACTGGCTTTCTGCTATTCTTTTTAAAGCACGAATCCATTTAACTTCTCTCAAGTAAAAGAACACCTGGGTGACAGTCTCCTCTGAGAACGATTTTCAGCTGTTCCAGGTAATGTAACAGAGGTGTGCCTTTTAGAGAGCCTCTCTAAAGGCAACAGCAGGGCTCTGGAGTCGCGCAGACTGGGGCTGGAGGCACTGACGGTAAGACCTGGCTAGCCCTCAGTGAAAAATGACAGTGAAAACAAGATTAGCACGGGACTTTCTGTGAGGATTTAATGGGTACAAGGAATATAAAGAATTTGGCACACAGTAAGAACTCAATACATTTTGCTATTATTAGTAGTATTTAAAAATATAAACAATGAATCTTGGAACACTGAAAAAATAAAATTAAACTAAAAAAATATTTCATTAAGGCTCTTTGATAAAAAGTGATTTTTAAAAATATAAATTAATGAATGAATAAAATTATTTCATTAAGGCAAAACAGCCAAAAGTATATTTTACAAGAATTACTCATTAAATTATTTTAAAGTTAACATTTACCTAACATTGTTTTAGAATCATATGAAATAATGCATATGTTATAAAATTTTAACTGAATAACCTTATAGAAATTATACAAATATAGGAATTTTGCTTACAGACAGCATAATATAATGGAATGAATACAATATTTAAAATCAGAAGACCCAGAGTTAAGTCCTGACTCTACCACTTCCTGGGCTATATGATTTCTGGATAGTACCCAAACTACCTCAAATTTCTCATTTTTATTTTATTTTATTTTTTTTAAAGATTTTATTTATTTATTTGACAGAGAGAGATCACAAGCAGGCAGAGAGGCAGGCAGAGAGAGAGGAGGAGGCAGGCAGAGAGAGAGGAGGAAGCAGGCTCCCTTCTGAGCAGAGGGCCCGACGCGGGGCTCGATCCCAGGACCCCGAGACCATGACCTGAGCCAAAGGCAGTGGCTTAACCCACTGAGCCACCCAGGCACCCCAAATTTCTCATTTTTAAAAATGAGATAATATCCTCTGTGTGACAGAATTGTAGACATTAAAGTTTTTTAAAAATCTACACAAGAATATCTCATAAAATTAAAGTATTTGTGACATTAACAAATACAAGTTTTCACATTTCCTGCATGAAATGTCATTCATTGTAGTTAAAACTGTCAAACTGTATAGAAAATTTCTAAATACAAATGATTAAGAAAAACTAGGGGCTTTAAAAAAATATGAAACTAAAATCTTTAATCTATCTTTACATAAAGTCAAATGTATATATTCAAAGTATTTCACTAGAGACTTCTAGTCTAGAGACTCTAGGTAGCCTTATGTTTGCAGTCCTCAATCTTTCTAACATTCTTCCTATGTAAGCCAGAGAAATGTGTTACTTATAAGTTAGGTCAAAAGGTCTTGCCTGCTGTACCACATTTCAGCAAAGACATTCCTCAGCTTGAGTGACTGGCATGGTCACCTCTCCCTTTCCTACAAATCTGTCCTTCCTCTCTTCTCAGGAATGCCAGTACCCATTTTCCTATCACCAGGTGCAATGCCTCCTGGCTCTGTAAGTCTAGGTCCTAGGAGTCTTCCTCTTCAGTGTCATTCCCTCACCCCTGATCCCTACTGCCATTATCAGAGTTCACTCTCTCACCGCCTTCGGTCTTATGTAATGGAATTGCCTCCCAACTAATTTCCTTTCTTCCAATTTCTCTGCTCTGGCAATCCACCCCATTCCTCACTACTAAATTAAATACCCTAAAATCCGCTTTGGCTGTTTCCTGTTCAGACTTGCCCAAAAGTACAAAATCCTCATGCTCAAGTATAAGCAGAGCCCTGAGGCTCAATAATCCATCACCAAAAAATCTAGAAGTAGCCTTTACCGCCACAGGCAGATGACATACTGCCACTGAAACCTGACACAGAAGAGTGTTAACATTAAGTACACTGGGATCCAGGTACATTCAAAATGGAGATGTAGATCATAAAGTTAACAGAGGCTCTAAAGAGAGGTAAAGAACTCAGACATTTTATTTATTTAAAGTGCACAATTAAGAGAATACCTAAAACAAACAATAATAGGAAAGTGTTTCTCCAAAGTTGGAGAGAACCTACCTGGTAAAGGCAGGCTGCTGTTCCAAGGAAAAATGCAACAATGTAATTAAAATCTTCACCATCACTCTGCAAAAACAAAATTAAAAATTACTTTTTTCCTGGTGGAAGCCCATTTCCAAAAACAGTCCATCAGGATAGGATACAGCAATGTTTATGCACAAATGGTCAAATTTTCATCAAAACATGGTATGTAAAAATTCTCAAGAGTCCTGAAAGTTCCAAGGAGTGTGAGGCACAGAAAGACTACCAGTGTTCCTTTATGTTTTGACCCATCAATTTCACCTTACCCATGTGTGCAAGATGAAATGAAATGAAATCACTTATGTCAAGGGGTTTTAAAATGGTGCTAGAGGCCATTAAGGAGATGGACCTTTATGTACATCCTCACCAGATGAAGCTATGAACTTTATCTGGGCCAAACTACAAAGATTCCAAAGACTCTGCCCGAACCGCAATTGCTGTAGTAAGAGAATTTTCTTAGGGACAACCTCAGCAGCCAATTATATTCAGCCAAGATTGGTTTTCTGCTGCCAACATCAAACAAAATTCATTGTAAACGACACATACAAACACATTCCTTTTTTGTCTTCTTTAAGCTCTTGACTTTTGTAACCTAAAGGGACACAATCTGGGTTGTTACAAATCCGTGCTCCTCAAGCTGCAATTCTGAGACCCCAAATAATTGCTCTTATTTTATTTCAGCTCTGCCTCTTTTCTTAGTCGACCCAAGAAAAGATGAAAGCCAATGGGAGAGTTTTCACATAAGGTAAAAAACCTCTCTTCTCTACTGAAAAAAACAAACAAACAAACAAAAAACCCCCATAAAATGTACAATACCCCAGTGGCCTATAAGTCAGTCCCACTCACTAGGATTACTACTTGACTCAAATAGATATTGACAAACCTTACTATCAGGTAAGCACATCACTGAAATGTCCAATAAAGTAATTTGACATGATTAAAAAAAAATTGAAAAGTTACTGTCCACTAGAGTGTGCTAAATCCCAATGAGAACAGCGACACATGCTGTGTGAGAAAAACAGCCACCCAGAAGAGCTACATCATACACAGAATGTTTTTCAAACTGATGCAAAACTAATAGAAAACCCAAGTGTTTTTCTATTCTCTTTTGAGTCCTCTTAAATATATTAAATTTCTTTCAGTGTTTTTATAAAGTGAAACATAAAGTCCAGATAGGAGCCTTACATTTGGCCCTTATTTTAGAAAAAATACCTTTAAACAACGAAAATTTTCACAAGACATGGGAGTGTCTCTCATGCCCATGTCTTCATGAAATAATACACAGAGAAAATTCCTTTCCCACTTGCTACTGGGCAACAGAACTGACCCTAAGGCAGAAGGTGAGTTGCTTATCTTAGTGAGACGATCTTAAAATAGGAACCATCAATCTGTCTGGGATGCTTAGGCCTATTCCACCTCAGAGCCAAGGAAGGTCATGAAACATTTCTCTCTTTTTTTTTTTTTTTTTAAGATTTTATTTATTTATTTGACAGAGAAAGATCACAAATAGGCAGAGAAGCAGGCAGAGAGAGGAGGAAGCAGGGTCCCTGCCAAGCAGAGAGCTCGGTACCGGGTTTGATCCCAGGACCCTGAGACCATGACCCGAGCCAAAGGCAGAGGCTTTAACCCACTGAGCCACCCGGGCGCCCTGGTCATGAAACATTTCTAACTGTAATAATTATAAAACTAAGTTATGCTTGCTTTTTCTTAGTCCTTTATTTTTCAAATGATTTTTTTTCTGATCATAAAAGCTTATGTTTATTGTACAGAATCTGGAAAATAGACTGTTACAAAGAAGAAATGCATATAGTCTATAATACCATAACCCTGGGATGATTACTACTAACCATTTCATGTATTTTCTTCCAATCTTTTCTATAAAATCATACATGTACATTAAAAAAATTGAGTCATACTTTTATATACTGCTTTTTAGTACTACACATTCTATCATAAATACTTTCTCAAGATAATGAGTATTTCTCAACCACATGATTTGTAGTGATTATACAACCTTTCATTGTGGGCTATACCACTGATTTAATTACCCTACAATTGGATATTATTTTTTCCCTTGATTTACAATATCACTTTATGACTCTCTTAATTGCCTTTGGAACACTTAATGGCACGTTTGTGGAGTCAGTCAGACCTGGGTTCAAATCTTTACTTACTATCTGTATAGTCTTGGACTATTTAACTTCAATTTACTTTTTAAGAAAATAAAAGTTGTACAGATTAAATAACATTTACAAACAGAGAACAGTAACTGGCACACAGTAAGTACTCAAAATCATTCACAAACTCCTCTCTCCTTCAGGCTACCATCTGCATCATTTATCGAATAATTAGATTACCTTCTAAGTATACTGGTCTTAGCCTCAAGTAGACTCCGACCTGTCTTTTTTTTTTTAATTGAGGTATAACTGACATACAACATTATATCAGTTTCAGGTGCACACACCGTAACAATTCTTTATTTGTATACGTTGCAAAATGATCACAATAAATCTAGTTATCATCCGTCACCGTACAAAGTTACAAACTTTTTCTTGTGATGAGAACTTAAGTTCTTTTATCTCCTTTCAATATACAATGCAATATTACTGACTATAGTCACTATGTTGATGTTATATCCCCATAACTTATTTAGTTTATAACTGGAAGTTTGTACCCTTTGACCCCCCACTTCACCCATTTATCCCACCCCCCTAACCTTCCTTCAAGGCAGAAAATCAATCTTACTACTTGCATCAAACTGCATATAGCAGGAATTCAATAAGTGCATGCCAGGTTGAGCTGAGCTTAAAAAAATCTATTTCTGGGTGCCTGGGTGGCTCAGTGGGTTGAGCCACTGCCTTCGGCTCAGGTCATGATCTCAGAGTCCTGGGATCGAGCCCCGCATCGGGCTCTCTGCTCGGCGGGGAGCCTGCTTCCTCCTCTCTCTCTGCCTGCCTCTCTGCCTGCTTGTGATCTCTCTCTGTCAAATAAATAAATAAAATCTTAAAAAAAAAAAATCTATTTCTACTTGCCAAAGATTGTCTATGTATTTTCCATTGTATTTTCCATTCAATAAATATTAATTAAACACCTACAGGCCAGGTATTATATTACTAGACCTAGAACAGAAGAGAACTAAATCCATATGAACTCAAGGAGCTTACTTTCTGATTAAGAAGGCAGATACATTAACCAACAATTCCCACTTAAAGTGATAATTGATGGGACAGGTGTGTGTACAGGGTATAAAAGGAGACTACTGGAGACACATCTAAACCTGCATGGAGAAACAAAAGGTCAAGGAAGTAAAGCTTAATCTGGGTCTTGAAGAACGAACTAGTAGAAAGGTAGACAAAGTAGGGAGAGAATTCCAGGCTAAGGGAACAGCACATACGGTCTCAAAGAGGGAAGAGCCTAGGATGACTCCAGCCTTCTTATTAAGGCAACATTTGAATTATAGCATTCACTAAGTTGGGAATATAGGAGGAAGAGTAGGTTTGAGAGCAGAAAAAACTGAGTTCGTTTTGGACATGTGATTTGGGAGGGGCCAATGTGACATCCAAATAATTATATTTCATAGATTTAAGTCAGCTTCAGGAAAGAGTTGGCTCTAGAGATCCTACTTCAGTCATCTATTTAAACAGTTGTTAAGTGAAGGCCTAGGACAATCAAATGTAAGTCTTAATTTTTTTTTTTAAAGATTTTATTTATTTATTTGACAGAGAGAGATCACAGGTAGGCAGAGAGAGAGGAAGAGTCTTAATTCTTGATTGGCTCCTTGAATGGAGAGAGAGAGAAAAAACTATAAAGGATATTTAGTCAACTGTAGAAATTTGAATATGAATTTTATATTAGATAATACTGCATTGATCTTAAAAACCTTTGGTGTAATAAAGGTATTGCGATTATGCAGGAGAATTCCTAGTCCTTAAGGCATACATACTGAAAATTTTTCAAATAAACTGTCATGATACCTACAATTTTATTTTCACATGATTCAGGAAAGAAAGAAAAAAAGAAGTGTAAGTAGGTATACAGGTGGGTGCTAATTGTATTGTTTTTTAAATCTTTCTGTAAGTTTGAATTCTTCTAAAATAAGAGGCAGTGGGAGGAAAGAGGAATACAAAAAATTTTTTAACACTATGCTACCACTAAAATGAATGTAATAGATCTCTATACACTGATATAAAATGATCTCCTATATAATGTTAGGTGGAAAAGATGCAAATAAGCATGGAGTATACTGCCATTTATACAGAAACACTCTGAAAACAATTATATAAGTAAATATATAAATTCATATGTACTAGCATACATACATTCTGTCTCTAGAAGTATAACCCAGTGGTTGAAGAGAAACGGGAAAAGAATGACTTATTGTGACAACAGGCTTTGGAATTACAGGCTTTGAAACTGTAGGCATGTGTACATTTTACTGTGTGAGGATGTGTGGGTATGTGCACAGATTAACTTCTTTTTAAAAAGCCATCATGAAAACACCCAAAGAGAAGGTGAAAGTTAAGAAGAGTATTAAAGCCAAGGGCAGAACATTGGAGAATGCCCCTATTTAAAGGACAGGTGAAGGAAGGAAGTTTACCAAATAAACTGAGGAACAGGAAGACAATGAAAAAAGGTACAATGGGAGAAAATGGTTTCATGAAAATAAGAGAATGTCAAGAAGAACAATGTAGCAAACTATTAGTAGTGATTTATCTGCTTCTAAGTTTTTGAAAATAAATACTATTTCTGAAATTAAATAGAGTTACTTTTTTTTTTAAAAAGATTTTATTTATTTATTTATTTATTTGACAGACACAAGAGGCAGAGAGGCAGGCAGAGAGAGGAGGAAGCAGGCTCCCTGCTGAGCAGAGAGCCTGGTGCGGGGCTCGATCCCAGGACCCTGAGATCATGACCTGAGCCGAAGGCAGAGGCTTTAACCCACTGAGCCACCCAGGCGCCCCTAAATAGAGTTACTGTTAAAAAGAAAATCTGAATAGTATGTAAGGTGAGGCAGAGAGGCCACAGAAGACAAGGCCTCAAGAGTG